AAATTGTTGGTTTTTGAAATTGAACTTTATACATATTTTATGGCTGATTATTGCTTGTCAGTATATACAAAACAATTGTCTACAATCAATTTGCTACAAACTATTTGTGTCAAAACTTATACAGCTTTTATGATTTTAGGTGGGAGTCAAAACTGACCTATTTATAAAAAATACTTACAATTCGTTTTGTAACTGTAGTAATCTCGAAGCAAATTTGTATGAATACATTTTAACATGTTGATACTAATAAAATAATTTTTGAATGATTTATTGGCTTTTTCACAATAAAAAACTTAATACTTAAAAGTTTCAAATTAAAATATAAAGACTGCAACTGCATACGAAATATTTAATTTTTACTATAACAAATATTAATTTTTTGAACAATAACTTATAGAAAAATCGTTTTTTATCATGAATTCTAGTAATAGTTAACATATAAATATAATTAGTATTTTAACATCTACGGACATTACTTTTTATCAACCATTAATTTGTTCCTATACTAAATCATACTTATTTGACTTAAAAGTACAGCTTGCTAAGATATTTGGCAAAAAAGACTTATTTGTATAATAAATATAATCAGCTTCGATTTTAGTGACTTTGGGTACTCTGCTACTCTATCTCAAATTCAATACATTCAAATCACTGACTATTTTATTTAAATTTTCCAATATATCATCATCCTGATTTTTTGGTTCTTCTTTGAACATTATTATCAAGCCACATACAAAAAAGTCTCAAAACTATGTAAATAATAAATATTCAATGATGAGAAGTTGAGTTTCTAGTGAATCAAGACCTAAAAATGTATAGAAACTTAACTGCAATTGATTATTAATTTTAGGGGATCAGAACTGACATTTCCAGCTTTAAAGCTCTTGGATTGTCCACGAACGAGACACATTGACTTATCCTCTTACACAGTATCTGTCATTGCCAAATAGTATAAGAAAGTATAGTTTACGTACCTATTCAAGTAAACCTAGTGGCTGCTTCAGGGGAGGGTCGGAACTGACAAAAGTATTCGTACACACGAAAAACAAGAAATAATTTACTTGCCAGTCCCGGTGATTTTAATTTTTAGCGGCATTGGCCAGCAAACTTTTTAAGTGATAGTATGTTATTCGAAAAATTACCATGAGGGGGGGGGTGTTAGAGAACTACATTGAGCGTTTTACAAAGCTATTTCTATGTTTATCATAATATTCATATAAATGAAGGGACAAAAATAATGCATTATACGTTATTACTTATTTGCTGAAAGCATGTGTAACATCAGTATGAATATAATTTATTATAACTAAAGTTTGTAATCTAGGTGCCAAAATTCTGGAAAAAACCTTCATTTTTGTATGCGAGAGTCTTTTGTTTAAGAAGTTGAGTTTTGAACAGGGGTCGGAACTGACATTTTGAGGTGATTTTTGCAATTTTCTTCGTTAGAGGGACAAGAAATCGGTTATATCCGTAGTTAATTGAGAATTCATAACATTTAACATGCCTTGGCACTGCAAGCATAATTAATTTTAGTTCTAAAACGTCGTAAGAGCTCTGGACACGATTTGAGCCAGTTACGGCAGAATCACCCATATATATACACATAAAGTTAATGTGCAAATTATCAAAAGAAATAAACACATCCAAATTTTTATATTAGTAGACATTACTTTCTTGTAACATATTTGTATACCAATAAAATGGTGAAAGTATGCGAACGTTGTAAGAGTATAAATAACATGAAAAAAAAATTATATTTGAATAAGTACATACATTTACGAAAATTTATTTTATTTTATCTGAATTAATCACGCAACTTGAGTTAGTGTTTTGATCATTTGTTTTACAAAATAAAATGAAAGTTATTGTTCGTTTTCCAAGAAGAGTACGATAGAATCAGAATAGTCTTGTTTGTTGTAGCTCAAAAAATTAAAAATCTGTTTTAAAAAGTAGGTTTATTTAAAATCTATTCTCCAATTATTATCAAGTAAAAATTGTATTCAGAAAAAGTGGACTTTTCATACGTAACGTTTCTTGAAATGTTGGAACACGTCTCGTGGCAATGCATTGTTTTGCATTTTATTATTATTTTCACAAACAAATGGGATCAACGAATGTTTCTTATACTATTACGAAAGAAACATCAGAATCTGAAAAAAAAATTATAAAAGTGGGAGATTTATGCAAACAATTTATTAATATTGCACGTTTTCTTAGCCAAAACTTTTTTACATTTCAGACCTACATTTCGTTCATAAATGTTTTTTTATCATGCAGAAAAGCATTGAATAATAAATAACTGTGAGAGATAGCTGGCAAAGCACATAAAAAGACGAAGCTCCACTAGCGTGTATATATACTAATGAGCCTCCAACCGTTGAAAGCTTCATGCACCAATCATCAACTACTTTAACTTAAAATAAAAGCCTTTCTATCAAATGTACAAAATAGAAGGATATGTAGTATTTAAATTTTTTCGCAATAGTGTGCGGAAAACACCTATTTTCCGCGCACTTATTGCGAAAAAACTTGTACGCAACTCGTGCGGGACGATTTCCCGCACTTGTGTGATAGGCTCGCACTCGTGGCCGGTGACGGTAACTCGTGCCGTGCGATCACACTCGTGCTACGCACTCGTGTGCTCAACTGGCACTCATTCCCGTCAACTCCGTCCACTCGTGCGAGTCAATCACGACTCGTGCGGAAAGTCGTCTTTTCCGCAATTGTTACGTAAATGACTATTGTATTGCTTCGCGCCTGATGAATTGATGTAAATTTATATGAATGGATCAAATTTTTTCTAGTTTTTAACAGTAAATACAATGCTCACAGTGAGCATGAATCAAAATTTGTTTATCATACTCATGATTTTTTAAAGTGTTCATTGTCTAACCCAGATATTCCAAGAAAAACACTAAGAGCTATAAAATTAGGTCTACAGATTGTAATAACTTATTAAAGTACATAAAATTTGGAATATTGTTGAGCTTGTCGTTTGATCAATTACAAATATCAACATTTTTAATCGTTGGTACTTGTTTGCTGCATTTAGTTGCAATTGGATTGAAAAAAAATTTTTTTTAACTTAGAAAATCTGTTTCCTACTTTATTAATTAATATGTTTTTTTAGTTTATAGTATATTTTTGTAATTGTTCGCTGGCAAATATTTATTTTATTTTCATTTCAAAATTTTGACGCAATTTTTAATCATTTTTTTGTTGAATTCTTAGGTTCTTAAAAGGTTGTAGTACTATTGTAAATGTATAACTGCCTTCTTACTTTGAACCTCTAAAATAAAAGAATTAATACGACAAACTTGACATTGTTATTTTAAATCTTATATTGATTGGCATTAGTTTGTCTAATTTTTTTTTATCTTTTGTATATGGAAAATACATTTTGATGTTTGGTAATTAATTTATGTCCTTAGTTCATATACGTTACAAAATTGAAATAAACTACATATTTTTTGTGTATTGTAGGAGTACTTCTAGAATTCAATATTAATTAACCTTTTTATCGTATGAAATATTTTAAAATATTTTTTATTCTACTACAGTTGATCTTTTAATCAATTTAACATATAAATATTGTGATGGAGCTGACGTCTATATGAGTCATGTTTAATAAATAAAGATTTGTAGTATTCAATTTTACAGTTATTTAATATTCAATAAGTAACTCCCTTAACAAAACAAATTTTAACCCAAAATCTTACAAAAAAGCTAAAATTTAGGTTATTTAAATATCCGAAAAAATCTATTCATCCCCCTTTTAAAAAAAAATTATGTTTGCAATCACGGTTCTTATTTACTATATTGTAAAGGCAGATGTTTATCCATACAACACTTGTTTTTAAAGCTAGATAGTTTTTGTTAATTAAATAATATCAATTTTTGGACTTTGTTCAGTTTTCAGTAAATTAAAAATTTTATCTCTGGAAAGAGTGAAGATGAATTAGAAGGGTATTACTCAAACAGGGAAATTAAAGGAGAAGCTGCTAAGAGCAGAGGGAGGTAAAAGGGAGCAAAGGAAAGCAGGAGGGAGCTTGCTCAGGTTTAATTGGATCAAAAACTACGTAAAAATAAGCAAATAAGTATGTGAATTCGATGAGAGCTAATAGGAACTGAGAGGAAGAAGGGGAAGTTCAGACTCACTTTTGTCTGTACAACTATTTAATGTAGAGAGATAGGTACTACGCCGACCTCCTGCGTACTTCACGCACTAACGCGATATATATATATACATATGTATATGTATAAAACTCAAGTATATTTACAAAGAAAATTTATTTTCGTAATATAAAAAAGTTCTGGCTTAAAAAACGTACAATAATAATTAACTATTTGCATGTATCTTTCATTTTTATAATTTTTTCAGATCCTGACATTCCATCCGCAATAATGTGAGGAGCATTAAACGATTTCACTTGTTTATCAAAGTAACGATATGAGCCTGCATAAAACGGGTCAGACAACCAATGCTACAAAAAGTTGTATTACTGCCTTAATGATATGAATAAAATGTACTTATAGTAGGTCCTTAATTTTCATTGCTTGTTTCTTTCTTTTAGCTTTTCTAGTTTCTCATGCATAAGTAGAGAAAGACTTGTATAAGAGAGTTGCACGTATTGCTCCTAAAAAAATAATCTCATAAGAGCAAGGTATCATCGCAACTAAAATCGAAATCATATGGTTAAATGATTATGTACAGCTGCAGTTACCACACACATAAAATTATTTAATTATATTAAAAAATCATTGACGCTAAATTTTCTTTTATAGACACGTATGTTAAAATTTTATAATAGTTTTTGGTCGTAACTTTTTCTATTTATAAAATACAAATGAATTCCATCAATGACAAGTAAGAAATAAAATTTAATAATGAATTATTTAATAGACCTAACATACGATATTATATATTAAATAAGAGCCAAATCTTTTTGAGGTAAATGTAAATAGTGCAATGGACTGTATAATGTAATATGACAAATAACTTACGCTACACTGAGTTTTGTATCTGGAACTGATGCATATGCAGATGCCTCGATCAATTCTTCAATACCGTTTTTTCGAACATTTATGGAATCTTCAAACTTATCGGTACAAAGTAGATATTCTTGCTTGTTAGAGACATAGTACTTGGTAGATTTAGTTTTTGGTACTTTACAAATAGTTAATTTATTATTATCACTGTCATTACTACCATCATGAAAGTCATATACTGAAGTCGTTTGTCTCCATGGTAATTGACTTCGTGTTTTCAAAACGTGATTCACTTTGAAGTTGTCCATACACTCATTGTTACTTTGTGTACTGCTAACTGATTCTTTATCATCTAATTTAAATCTATTGTGCGCTATTTTTGATTCTTCACGGCAAACTATTCTATTTCTTCTTATTGAAACATTCTTGAAGTGTATTTTATCTTGCAAGCGTTTAAAATCATAGGTTTTCTGAGGACTATGATTTTCAGTGATACTTGTTTGGTGTAAAAGTCTCTTTTCAGGTTGCTTATTTGCCGCGACTGAAGTTAAAAGTTGAGAATCATTGGTTGATTTTTCCACTGAATCTTTAGTTTTTACCTTATCGTTAACATTTGTCATAGAATCGATTACTTTTGAATTCTGTTTACACTGATTGTAGAGTTTTTTTTTCCTTCTTTCACTTTCACGCTCTGGTTTAGGTGGGTTAATCGAATTTAAAAGTCTATCTGCACTTCTGATTTCTTTTGTTAAATCTTTCACTAGTTTGTGACTGTTTATTGTTGTTGGTATTTGGTTTCTGCTAAACATATTATACTGAAATGAAAAAAAATGTGTATATGCGATAATGATAACAAGTTAAAGTTAATAAAAAAAGATGTGTTCATCTTTATTACCAATTAATTGTCTGACATAAAAACCTCTTAACACTTACTTTACAAAAAGTTACTATAGACTCTTACTTCTTAATTACTGTTCTTAATGATAGTCTTATCAGAAGAAATTAATTTTTCGAAAAAATAAAAAAACATTTTGTTATATTAAAATAAAGTTTATACTTAAATAAACCAGTGGACAGCGGGTGCTTCGGTACCCAAGTATGAAGTTATACTTCTAAAAAATTAAATGCAGACAATAAAATTATAAATACAAATAAAACCACTAAACCGTGGTAGGAAACACATTGTGGCTCACAGAGGTAGCGCAGTGCGTACCAATGAAAAGAAAGAAACGAAGTAAGAATAAGGCAAAAGAAACCTGCTAGAACAAAGAAGGCTCAAAAAAAAAAAAAAACGCAAGTAAGGAGCAAAAGAAAGGGAAAAACAGATAAGCAGGAGAAGGACTCGTAACCATGACCTCAAACTATAGGTTTGAGAAAAGAAGGATAGTAGGGATATGCTAAAACAACTAAGGCAAAAACAAGAAAGTGAGAAAGCAACCAGATTAAGTGCAAAATCCCAGAAGCCAACAGAACAGCTGAAGCTGTACGAGCTCGACAACTTCAAACTCCAGGTAAGCAGTACAAAAGAGACAGAAAAAATGGACAAGGCGGCAAAAGACAAGCTGACTAAAACACTGACGAAAATAAAAGAAGAGTTAGGAAATGTGAGCAAAGCAACAAAAAACGTAAAGGAGGACACGGAAAAACGAAGGATGACATCAAGGAATTAATTAAGAAATAAATGCAAAAGAAGACTGAAGAAGAGAAGAGAGGAGGACAGGCCGTAATAATCAATGCACAAGTAATAGATTATTGAAAGACTGCAAAGACTGGAAGAGGAGAAAGAGAGGAAAGATAGAGGAGGCAGTAAAATAAACATTATCATAAAAGGACTGAAAATTATCAGAACTCGCTTAAGAGGAGAAGTCAGCCTCTCGGGAACTCAGTATAGGTTTCGAAAGGGGCGTTTAACGGTCATGGCTGTGGCTGAGATTCTTGAGTCGGTTAAGGAGGCATGAAAACCCTCTCATAAAACGAGGAGCGTCTATGTTCTGGCAATGCTCGATGTCAAGAATGCCTTTAACTCGGCAAAATGGTCCGGCATAATGAGGGCCTTAAGGCACCGGAATGTACCGGACTACCTGAGAAGGATCCTGGACAGTGATCTCCAGGACCGAGTACTCCGGTACGATACAAAAGATGGACTGAGAGAGAGGTGTCAGACGACGGGAATCGCGCAGGGATCTGCCCTTGAACCCAATCTCTGGAACCTGGAGATTATTCAAACCTATAATGTCTCCAGTGGAATACCAGGAGACATGTCTAGCTAGAGCATAACCTGCTCCAACACTTCAGAGTTTTGTGGCCGTTTAACCATCTGGCCAGGTGCCGTCAGAGAATTTTCTACTTCAAATACAAGCCAGGGAAGACAGCCCTGAGAAGTACGGGCAGCTACAACGACCTTCTTCTCAGTGGTTGTCCCAACGGCATAACTACATAAAAGGTATTCTTCAGGCCCAGTTTCCCGACTAACGATGAGCGGTTGGTTGTCCGGAGAACTACCTAAAAACGAGATATTCTTTGGTCAGCGGCGTACCTTTCTCCAGCATGGTCTTCATATACAGAGACTCCGAGGTTAAGAGTCAAGCTACCTACAGCCAGCTCTCCATCATCAAGAATAATAATAAAAAATAGCTGGAAGTTTCACCACTGGCCCTGTTCAGAGCCATTATAAGTATTTACGTACCCTACTTAACCATCAATCTCATTGGTTCTCTTGAGGGCCACCTAAGTTTAAACTACCTTGCCAACAAATACATTTTTACTACCATTTTCAGAAGCGATTCGTCGACTAAAAGACTATGTTAACTAAATACGACCACTATTAAATCAAGTCAGTCATTCACTGGCAGTCGTCACGAGCAGAGTTGTTCTTCATAAGGCTGGAAACCCCAGTGACCGATGGCCCTATATTACCCTTTCGACTCTAAGCATTCAACCAGGGATCACCGATCCTCTCCAAGGTTTGCGCCGGGTAAACCTAACAGCTATAAAGGGAAAAAAAACTTGAGCCAACGGGATAGTCTCTTATGGGCAAGCATCACGAACCAATCTCCCCATCTTACACTGGAAAAAAGTTAGGCAGGTGGACTTACCAATATTACTGTAAGCGGCGCACCCAAGTGCTTGGGCCGTCTGCTCTCCCACTTTGGCTGGACGCAGACTATATATGTAGTATATAAGTATATAAGTATGCCCAAGATCGGCGAGCAGCATCAGCAACATATAGGCACCAGGTCGTTGAATCAGATCAATCTTCCCAAACCCGTGTGCAGATTAAGTGTATATTATGCTTTGAAATTATAAGAAAAGCTAATAGAAGTGTTAGACATGGATGATGAGATGGACCACGATGCTGGCATGCGCCCTACACTTGACAACAACATTAGTATTTGTAAGTAGGTGTGAGAATATGTATTAATCATAAGTATGTGTATTTTATTTTTGTGTATAGGCCTCAGGTGTATGTAGGTACAAAAAACGGGTACGCGATGTATACTGTTTTTTGGGGTTATTCGTGGAGACGTTTTACTGCGCATGAATAAAAAATTTATACACAAAAAATTAAATCATTATTTAATATTTCCCTTCGTATACCTAAATTCTTATAAAATAGTATATTAGATTATTAATTAGCACATCAAAGAACTACTAATATGTCTATGCAGACACCGTGTATATAAGTTCCATGACTTTTTTTATCCAAGAAATTATTTATTTTTAGTTGAGGTTACCAAAACTAGTGATGCATTAACATTCTGCTTAATAAGTAATAATAGCCAATAACCTTAACAGTTGAAGTTTAATTTTATTTATTCATTCTATCAAACTCATGGAAAATTGCCGTAGAATCGTATAAATAACTTATATACGTTTACTCATACAATACACCTGGTGCTTGATGCTGCTGCTCGCCAATCTTGGGTAGTCTGCCTACCTAAAGTGGGAGAGCAGACGGCCCAAGCACTTGGGTGCGCCGCTTACAGTAATATTGGTCAGTCCGCCTGCCTAACTTTTTTCCAGTGTAGATCACCAAAGCAACTGAGTCTGCAAGAAAAAGGTGCTTTAGACACCAACGTCTTCGACGTCTTCATACCAGGAGACGTTGGGAAAGATCTTTACAACTAGCTCCAAAACTTCGGACGTTGTAATTTTTCTCCCAATCAGTCCGGGGCTTCGACAGCAGGCCAGAGAAGATTACCCTGAGGTATCAAGGTAGTCACAATTGCTGTAAACATCAGTCAAGAAAGAGTTAACTTAAGAGGCTCACTGGTCTTATTTAGGGCCATCGGACGTCGAACTACTTTGCCAACAAATATATTAGAACTTAACAAAGTTGACAGAAAACAGCCCTTAGGGGTCACAAAAGTTTTAAGCATGCCAAAAGTCGCAAGAGGGTAAATTGGAAGGAAAATTTTAAATATATCTAATGAACACAATTTTAGTCATCAAGAAACAGACGCAGAAAATTTATCAAGATTGGAACAGCAGCGTATTAATCGACAAATAAAAATTGACAAACTTTTTATATCTTTCAGATTTTTAAATAAGTAAAAAATGTCTTTGTATTTTTTTGGAGATAAAAAATGTAGAGATTAAGCTCCACGACTTTGTTGCTCTGGTAATAAAGTTGTGAGATGAGGAAGAAAAAATTTTTTTTGAACACATATTTTTTGGGAGTTTCAAATCTTAACAGCTTAAAAAATAGCCCTTTTCGTAAATTATACGGGAGAAACTGTTAATCAACGGCCCCTTATGGCCAACGATTATTTTATGGCATAGTAGAGCACGGTACTTTTCAGCATAAATATATTTCTTTTAATTTTTACAGCTTATTATTTTACCAAATAAACTGTATGAATTCTGAACAAATGTGTTTTTAATAAGAAGATTTTTGTTCTGAGAAAAATCAGAAATAGATTTAAAATTTATAACTAAAAACGTTTTACATTACATGTCAACACACTACGGTGTTCCATTTAGTAAGTCTCGGGCGAAGCCGAGACAAGGGGCCGCTAGTATATAATATTTTTATGTTGCATAGATATATTGTCACATAAATACTGTGATTTATTCATGTCTTCATATTTTGAAGACTAATAGTCATATTCATCAATTATTGACTTTTAAATGCACTGCGCGAGGCTCTCAGGATTCGGGAAAAAGCCAGGAAGGATAACAAGAAGGGAAAAGCACTAAACACTTTGTAGAAAAATCAGAATTATTATTATTTAAAATAAACTGTCATAATACCGTCTTTACAAGCTGTTGTTACAAATTAAGTCTTTGCTGGTTAGGGACTAGCGATCAACTGAACTGGCCTGATGCGCAGCATCGGGGCTCGCGTATGCATAGTACATATATACTAGCAGAGATGGCNACTACTAATATGTCTATGCAGACACCGTGTATATAAGTTCCATGACTTTTTTTATCCAAGAAATTATTTATTTTTAGTTGAGGTTACCAAAACTAGTGATGCATTAACATTCTGCTTAATAAGTAATAATAGCCAATAACCTTAACAGTTGAAGTTTAATTTTATTTATTCATTCTATCAAACTCATGGAAAATTGCCGTAGAATCGTATAAATAACTTATATACGTTTACTCATACAATACACCTGGTGCTTGATGCTGCTGCTCGCCAATCTTGGGTAGTCTGCCTACCTAAAGTGGGAGAGCAGACGGCCCAAGCACTTGGGTGCGCCGCTTACAGTAATATTGGTCAGTCCGCCTGCCTAACTTTTTTCCAGTGTAGATCACCAAAGCAACTGAGTCTGCAAGAAAAAGGTGCTTTAGACACCAACGTCTT